ATTTAGTTCAGATGGGGTCTAAGAGCCTTGTTACAAAGAATTTACTCGGGCAAATTAACGGCAACAACATGGAAGCTGGAGTTTTAAATCCGGAAAATACACGCAACCCATTGATGGGCCGAGACCCGTGTAGGTGCGTTATGTAACTTCACAAGATTGGCGAAACTTACGTGTCTGGGTCTCTAGCTAGTCCGTATAATGCCTTTAGGGCAAAATCCCCCAGTATTAGCTCTTCGGGTGACGTTCTCGTTTCGGGCTTACTACAGCAGACGAAAACCTCAACATTCTGTAATCCGGGACCGGTGGTGATGGGAGGTAGGGGGTGGTATGTACCAGGAGAAAGAAAAAAATGCTTTAAAAAATAAAGCGTATAAAAGGAGAAACTAATAGGAATAATTATTTGCATAACCTAATTTTTGGCGTATTACCATTATTAAACAAGAACTGCCCATCAGTACCCGTGAATTAGATACAATCGTATATCGACTATATATCGAATTTTAGAGGTAAAAGTAAAACCAATCCGGAAAGCCACCGTACGTTGCCAAAAAAAGTAAAATAAACTGCAACTGAACTAACCAGAAAAACTAAACTAAAAGCTAAGGCAAAAAAACTAAACTCAAACTAAAACGAAACCAAAAGTGAACTATCCTTACACTAAAAGTGACCTCAGGACGCTAAAGAAATCCGTGTGGGGAATGCAGTGTGAATGGACAGTTTCGTACCTTTGTGGTAGGAAAAAACACTTACTTCTACGAAATAAGTATGCAGTTATGCAAAGTAAGCGTGCTGAGCCCGAAACGAGACTGTCACCGCCCCCCTCCCCCAATTATAATTCTGGATAGCCGGGTGCCGAGAAGTGAGTTAATCTGTTTTACTTCTTCTATCACAGAAAGTATTTGACGGAACCAAGAAACCTTCTATAGTTAAGGGAGGAGTTGTTAACCTCAATATCCATTAATATCCGGTGGATATTATCCCATCGAGCCTAGCAGTTTTAAATCTCTTCACAATTTTTCGCTCTCCCTCTTTTTTACCGCTGATTGGTTCCTTAAACTATTGCTAACTCTACTCTCCTTTTATATTATTGTACATGCCTGATGATGAATTAATCGAAAACGTTCGTTCGCCTTACTTGACTTTCTAGTAGTTTTTGACAGAAAACCACCCCGATCTCGGTCCAAGAAGACCTGCATTTTCAAAACTTAGTCATTAGGGATAAACGATGGAGACAGGGCCGTGTGCCACATACTTAGACGGGCTGCTTCACATTCGTCGTGTTGTAAATTTAGCCAAAGCTGAGATGTCACCTCCTAATTACGTCTTGTGTGAGTCCCCAAGGAAGAACACGACAGGAAGAGGGCAAAAACAGAGGTTTTTTTAGCGTAAGTAGTACAACATATGTCAGGTAACATACGTGTGTACAGCCATGGTTACGGGCCAATCAGATATTGTCCTGGTGCAAGTAGCCACGGGATTGGCTTGTGACTCAACAGCTGACCTGTCAGAGTCTTAGTCTAGTCGCAGCTTTACATTTTAAATTATTGATTGATTGATTAATTGTCAGTTTGCGTTCACCGCCTGTAGGCGGATCGATAGCCTGCCGTGAGCGCGGCTCGCTGCCCGCCTGCCTGCCATTGTTTCCTC